ATCTTCTCTGCTTCTGGAATGCACCCCCACTCCACCCCCACCCACCTTGGGACACCTTCATCCTTAAAAAGCCTGTGTAGGCATCACCCCAAGTCGCTCCCTGCCTCTGCCCACCAGTCCCCGTGGAGGGTAGCTGTCGTCATAGAACAAATGGCTTTCATGCATCAGAATTCATGGTTAGCTTCCTCAAAAATCCGACACCTAGCACAATGCCTGGTATACAGTAGGTGCTGAATAAACGTCTCCTCAAATTAAACCACATTTATTTGCATCTGGAAAGTCAGCCTTTATAAACTTCACTCTCCCCCTTTTCCTTGCCCCAAATTACTGCCTGATTTCTTAAGACTGGAGAGTTGCTCTCGAGGTCTCATTTGCAACCTCAGGATGCAAGGTTCCTGTGTGGCCAGCGTGGGGGAGGACACTTGGGGCAGTAATCCCCACCATAGACCACAAAGGGGCGCTCATTTCCCCACCCCCTCCTGCCTTTCAGGGCATCTCCTTCTTTATGGCTCTCAACTCTCTGGGCAGTTCAAGGCCCTTCTGCGGCCGGCCTTATGTATCTATAGAGAATCCCTCTGGATTTGGCCCTTTAGATACCTATCAGCTGGCGGGAAGCAAACTGGAGGTGGTGTTGGGCATCATCCTGGCCGGTTCCAAACCAGACCTCCTCCTTCTGGAACAGTGCTAAACCCATGGGACCGGCCTGGGTGAGCTTTTCCTTTTTCGCTTCCACCTCTGGCTTAAGCTTTAGCAGGATGGGTTTTGGGCTTGAGTCCAGCGATTGAACCGGGAGGGCTCTGTGCCCGTCCTCGCCTTTCTGGAGGTCCGTATATTGGCCCAGGGCTCCACCCAGGTTTGCAGCCTTTACTGATGTGCGTGGATATGGTGGGTCTACCTCCCACGCCATCTCGCAGCCAGTCACTAGCAAAGGGAGGCGTGAGTGGAAGGAAATGTGCGCTCTGCTTCCTCCCAGCAAAGCGTCTCTGGCTCGTTTTTTACCCGGGGGCCTCTATAGAGCCAGCCGGCACAGAAGCAGTGTGGCGACGCCACGCCTGGAAAACTCATCAGTGTCACTCTGGTCTATTTTCTTTCCCTCCTCAAGCTTTTTCCCATGGAGTGGGGCTCTCAGCGACAACTGGCGAACGGCTGGGCGATTGCTCGTTGGCATTCTGGCGGGCACCGGTTTCCGGAGGCCTCCAAGTGCTTTGTGGGTATCGGCATTTGTTTCTGCCGTGCCCGGAGCACGCTTGGCGCCGGTCCCAGTTAATGGGTGAAGAAACTGAGGCTCTGGGGATTAGATCATGAACCGGGGGCGGGGAGGGGTACGGCTGGGAGTGAGCTTGGTTCGTGAACGGGGCGACCTTTTGTCTTGAGGAAGTGCAGGGTTTCGTGTGTATCTGAGGAAGCCTGAGGTTGTGTACACATAAGAGAGAAAATGAAGGGGAGCGAGGATTGCATGGGGGTCGGGTCCTCGGTATAAACCTGCCCAGAACATCCTAGCCTTGCATTCTTGCTCATCAGAGCTGCCTCCCATGAGCAAGGAGCTCATAGGCCTTTTATCCAAAGCAGCCTCCTGCCCCAGGCCCCAAAGGGAGGCCCCAGGGGTTACGGAGCCCAGCGGGCCCCGCGCACGCTGGGTGGGGGTGGGTCACAGACGCCCCCCTCCGCCTGCTCTTTCCCTCTCCGCCGCAGCTTTATGGCGGGCATATGGAAACTGTTTCCATTCACCTAGCACCGCCAGGACGCCGCTGCCCGCTGAGCTCCAGCGAACGGAAACCTTGGATTCCCCGCAGGGCCGTTTCGGAGGCTGCATGCAAAGCAGCCAGCTGTTTTGCAGGGAGCGTCTGGGCCCTGTTACATCGGCGTTGCCATCTGTGCAAACAGGTCATCCTGGTTTGTAGCCTGTCCCCTGGATGGGGAACTGCTCTCCTGCTTTGAGGCAGAGTTTCTGCTAGTGTTTTGTATTTTAATGCCTGTCTGTTCAGGGCTTTTTTTTTCCCCCCCCAGTTCCTTCTCTGGCCAGTGATTTCAGTTCACCTCCCTGGGCTGATTGCCAGGATTCAGGGAGGGTAGTTTATGAGTAGATGTTGCATAAATCTTTAGTGGCTAAGGTCTACCGGTCTGAAAGGGCTGCCCACTGGTTTTCACATGAGCGCTCTCTGCTCAGGGCACCGGGAATGCAGAACAAGATGTTTCCCTTTGGGGAACTTTCCCCGGAGGTGCAGAATGGGAGCCTCCCGGGTGCCAAGACTGTTCCTGGTCAGCCTCCTCTGGCCCTTTTGAGACCTCCCGTGAGCGGAGAAACTGGCTTGCCCGGGAACCAGGAGGACGGCCCCTGCCGCCCTCCTGCCTGCTGCGTGCCTTCTGCCTTCCTGCCGTTCCCAGCCCAGCTGCCAAGGCGTGAGGCGGAAATGCCGAGGCCAGAGCCAGCCGTCCGCTTCCTGGAGGCGGTGGACGGCCAGCTTGCCCACGGCCCCGTGGTGAGGTCATCCTATCTCCTCGAGCAGGGCCTTTGCCGTTTGCCTCCACCTTGCCTCCGCAGCTCTCCCAGGAGAACTCGCCCTGACCTGGGTAAGACGGTGCCGAAGTCCCAGGTCTTATGTGCAGATTCTTACTTGGTCTCTAATGAGCACCCATGTGAGGGCCAGTCCAGCACGCAGGGTGGGACTGGGCTTCGGTGCTGTGGGGAGAGCCCCCCTGCCCCCTTTGGTAGCCAGGATTCTTTCTGAGCAGGGGACGCCCCGAAAGATGCAGGCACCAGTCATTTACCTGGGGACATTTACTCCCAGGAAGTGCCGATTTGGCCCGGGTGGGCAGGAGTAGATCAGGGCAGGGCAGCAGGTCACCAGGGCAGGTGGGTGCTAACAGTCACGGGGCTCTGAGACTCCCCAGGCTGACAACCCAGGGTAGACCCAGTGGGCCTCAAATGGGACGTGGGGACAGACCATCGCCTGGGACTTTGCGTCCAGTGGTGACGAGGGGAACGGGGAGTCCCTCACAGCTCTCACTTCCTGCTTTGAGGGGCTTCACTGTGAGGAAGGCCCTGGAATCGGTTCCCCAGTGAGCAGGGCCTCATGCCCCGGACACTGCCCCACCTGAACTACAGGCCACAGTAGGTGGCCCTCTCACCTCTGCTGGGCCCCCTTGTACCCCTTGGCTTCCTCTCTTTTACGGACCCTAATTGTCTTCTCCCTGTGGGAGGCTGCTGAGCCTTTAAGCATTCCTCATAACTGCAGCAATCAAGCCCTCGGGAGTTGGAGCGTGTCCATCGCCTCTTTGGCCACTTGTCCAGTTTAGGAATGAGAAACAGCGAAGGGGGCAGGGAATGAGGACCCCATGCGGTGCCCCAGGCCCCCCCTCCTGCAGTGCACTCAGAGTGCTTCTGGACTTGGCCATAAGGCAGCCGCCTCTGCTTGGGGCTGCAAATGAAAGGAGTGGGAGGCACCACAGCTCCCTGCCTTCCGTTTATGCCCTTTCTGTAACCTCTAAATGCGCTGCCCAGCCGCTCAGGCCTTTGAAATCACCCGTGGCTTTCTTGAAAAGCCCCTCAGCGGCCCTCGCCTCCCTTGTCACCTAGGGCCTTTCAGCCCTCTTCCCACATAAGAGCCGCAAACAAGCTTTGGGCTTTGCCTTCGGGACCCAGTAGGCAAGCCAAGGTCTGTGTTCAGAGCAAGTACTGGGTTGAATGGTTAGAGCCCAGAACAAAGTCTGCCCTGGAGGGGAGAATTCTCCTTTCTTTCCCTCCGCAGTTCCGGGCATATTTTCCCTTTTTTTTTTAAGGCTCCGCTCTGAATTACTCTTATTCAAATAGTTGTTCTTCAGTAGGTCCTTAAAAGAAGGATCTTTAGAAAATACAAAGAGATCATGTCCAGCCTCTTCGTAAGGCCCTCAGGCGCCCCCACTGTGCTCGGGCGGGGGTCTCTACCCACCCAGCCCTGCCTGTCACACCTGCTGTGCCTCCTGCCACTGGCCGTCTGTAAGTGCCCCGTGGGAGTGCGCTGCTGGAGTCTTCCGGGCAAGAGCTTCCCTCTCAGATATGTTTGTTGAGCACTTGCTACCTGATGCCTGACACTGTTCTGGCCTCTCAGGACACCTCGAGAACAAGGTAAAAGTCCCTGCTCTCAGGGGGCTGGCATTCCAGGCAGGGAACAGATACCCCAGGAGGAAGCAGAGAGCGGCAGGAGGGAGGCAGAGGGAGAGGGCGACGTGACTTCCCGGGGCGAAGCCAAGGGCAGCCTCTGGGAGGACCACGTGTGGGTGGACCCTGGGAGACGGGAGAGGCGGCCCCGTAAAGGCCTGGGAAAGGGCAGCGGGAACAGGACGTACTGGGAGAGCGATCCTCATGGCGGCTGCCATCTGTGCCAGCTCATTGCACCCGCCCCACCCGGCGCTGGCATTACTTCACCTAGGACTGCTGTGTCTCGGCCCCCAGCTCCCGCCGCGGCGTGGGAAGGCCGCAGAGGACGGGGCACAGGCACGCAAGGTGGCAATGCCGTCCCGCTGCCTGCCTGTGGCTGCTCCGGCTTCCCAGTCACTTTCTGGCTCATGCCTCCCTGGTCCCCATGAGCGGATCGAGGAAGGTGGTTTGACCTTCTCTCTCCGCCTAGGGCTCACTTCTCTTAGAAATGGGCACTGGGGTTGGAGCAGGGGCATGTTGGCCTTGGGTAGAGAAGGGCCAGTGTCACTGAGTGCAAGCGGCAGCCAGATGTCCCTCCTCCTACTTGTGGCTCCGGTTTAGTGGTTGCTGCTGCTAATTGTTGGTCCTTTCAGCACCACCCTGTCACCTTTTTGGGGTTTCCAATTCTTGAGAGACATGTAGCCTCCTGCCTAGGAGCCTAACCGGCCTAGATTGGTCTCCCAGCCCTGGAGCACTGACTTATAAATAATGGTATATACACGTCTGAGCGTATGAGGCGCCTGCCGGCCGTTTCGCCGGGCGAGCAGCGTGTGTGTCCTCTCAGGCCTGCCTTCTAAGCGAATCTCTCCCTCTTCCGATGCAGATGGAGGCAGCTGTGCCGCCCACGACTCCCAGGCCCTTAGCCTGAGCTCTGAGGGCGAGAGTTTCCCCTCGAGCCCCACTGGACACAACTGGGAGATGAATTATCAAGAGGCAGCGATCTACCTCCAGGTGAGCGTAGAGAGGAATATACATGTCTATAGGAGCATATGCCTGTGTGTGTGTGTGTGTGTGTGTGTGTGTGTGTGTTTGCGGACACCCAGTCACATCTGGAAACTTGTTTATCTCAATATTTAAGGTGATAATCTTTGGCTGATGGAATTCTTACAACCTTATAATCCTGTGTATCATTTGAACAGTTTTTACCGAAAATGCATCAGTTTGTTTTTTTTAAAAAAAGAGTAGAACTGGGATCTCCACGAGCAGTCGTTTGTGGCTGTCTCTGGCGGGGGGTTGGGCTGCTGTCAGACCGCCTGCCTTTCCTGCTTTGCAGCCCAGCTGCCCCTCAGACCGACCAAGTTGCTGGTGTACCGGGGTAATTGGCCCCTCGCTGCTTTGAGGGCACCAGGTCCCTGCAGTTTCTTCTCTTCCCAAATTTTATCTGTTAACACGCTCAGCCTCGGGAGCTATGTGCTCAGCGGTTATAGGGCCTCCCAGAGGGTCCTTCTTTCCCTGTGGACTTCCTGCCCCAGGGAGCGGAGGCCTGGACGTCACGTACAACTGGCCCGCCTTCTTATTTTTCTTAACCTTGTTCATGATCAGCAGCCAGGAAGCACGGCCAGTGTTCTTCTCGGGCGTCTGGATCAGAATCCAGCGATGCGGGTCATATTTCACCCAGTCCTTATTGGTGGAGACCTCGCCCTCCACCTCCTCTGTAGCTCTTCCAAATCCTAGAGTTAAAATCGAGGCCCCACATGTCAGTGGTTTCCTCTAGTCATTCCTGGCTGTCTGTGGGAAGAAATTTCCCCCAAGACTTGCATTTTTTTAGTAACCCAAACCAGAAGCTAGCTCCCCGGGCCACCGTGGGTGTCCCGCAGCCAGGGCAGCTGCAGTGGAAACCACAGCCCCGCACAGATCACAGGCCCTGGAGCGAGGCTTGCGAGGCTTGCCCTCTGTCTGACCGCCCGGATATTTGTTTCCTTTGTGGGGCCGCTCCCATCGAGTCTGTGGTTGGCCTTTCTTTCTTGGTGATGAGGGTAGTGACATATCCAGCTTCAGGAAAGTGACTCACTCAAAGCTACTCTGCAAACCACAGCTGAGGTCAGAGCTCCCCACCTCCCAGCTAGTGGGTGGTGACTGGGCTGGGCTGGGGCCCGGAGGAGTGATCTCTTGCAAAAATGGTTCATTCTACCAAACATCTATTAAACACCTGCTATGGGCACCAGATGCTGTCCTAAGTGTCTCACAGGAGCCCCGTGAGGAAGGGCTGGTATTCTCTCGTTGACAGCTGGGGAAGAAGAAGCTCTCTCGGGGTGACCCAGGGAGACGTGGGGAAGCTATGATTGTCTACCCCAGGGCCTTTCCCCCCAGATCTTGACATTCTGCAGACACTTCTGTGAGTGAGAACTTGACCTCTAAAGGGATCAGTTATGCTCGGCCCATGTGGCTCAGCAGTTGAGCATTGACTTAGGATCCAGGAGGTCGAGGTTTGATTCCCCATCAGGGCACATGCCTGGGTTGCGGGCTCGATTCCCCAGTAGGAGGCGTGCAGGAGGCAGCTGGTCCATGGCTGTCATCATCGGTGTTTCTCTCTCTCTCCCTCTCCCTTCCTCTCTCTGAAATCAATAAAGACATTTAAAAAAATAAATAAATAAAGGGGTCAGTTGTGCCCACTTCTCTACTTTCTTTCGTTTTTTTGTTAATCTTCACTCGAGGATATTTTTCCTTTTTTTTTTTTTTTTT